TGTCGGAAATGGAATTATTGATGAAAATCACAGCATATTCCGCGTTAGTTAACTTCCTGTTTAATTTTTCGATTTTTCTCACAGTAGATCGTTATTTAATTAATTATTATTGTACAATCCTCAACTTTGTTCAATATGTCACTTTTACGTGCAATCATTATCGATGATTCCTTCTCAGTTTCTAAATTTATTAGTGGTAAGGCTTCCAATTGAACGTCGTTGAATATTTATTATTAGATGTTTTTGCTCTATCATGCTTAAATTAATCAAAATTTTGTTTATGATCTCGAGAAACTTGACAATGATTTACGATCTACCGTTTGAAAAATCAAAAAATTAAACAGCTAACACCGAACGTGCTGTGATGTTCATATATATATATATATATATATATATATATATATATATATATATATATATATATATATATATATATATATATATATATATATATATATATATATATATATATATATATATATATATATATATATATATCTATATATATATAAACTTTCATCTATACAAATTTTCGTTTTTTCTAATTAGTCACTTTTGCTACATGGTCTTGCCCCATCTGATCACTAAATGCGCTAGATTTTTTAAATTCAATTTTCAATGGCAAAATAATTTTCCGGAGTATGTAAATGTACCAGAGATATTGGCATACCCCTTAACACATTTATTTTTCTTTTTATTCTTTAAAATGCAGTTCCGTCAAACGCAGAACCGGTTACTTTTTTTTCTATAACTTACTTATAATTAAACTTTTGCGCCACAAATGCTGTACTATCCACACCACATTACACGACACTTATGCACATTATGTATGCACGTGTAAGCACCACATCGTACGGATACGATGGTTTTTGAGTTTCGAACAGACAGATTCGAACCATGCCATTGCGTAATAGCAGCACGAGACATGCACTTCTACCGATTGAGCTAACTCGGTGACCAAATCAATATCAACACTTCGTTATTGACGAGAAGAATATTATTTAACTGTCGATTAATATATTATTTATTGTTTTGTCATAATAATGGTCTACTTTTTTTATTTATTTGAATGGACTTTGTCAAATATTATTTTGAGTGAATTTTTCATCAAATATGTTTTGTTAGGATGGGTTTCTTTGTATTATACTTGTTTGTTAACCTTTGTTAACATATGTAATATTGCTCAAACTATTGAATTGTTTATCCAACGTTCTCACTTAAGCTTTTCTCCATCATCATCATGTTACTATTTTGTTTACAAAGTTTTGATATTTTGTGATATAGAGCTTTCATTTATAAATATTTTTTGTTCAATTAAATTTCAACTTATTATTTAATTATTTTAATCATGTCAACTAAGTATTTATAAAACTAAAAAAATGGATTTGTGTTATTACTCATCAGTTCGTATGGTTACTTAGTATTTTAATTACAATTTCTGTGGAATAATCAACTGCTTTCCAGAGCGTACTTGCCATTTACAAACAAACTGTAAAAGCAGCTCCTTCAAACATTGCACTAATTGTAAAACAGTTTGAACGCAGTTACATTCAGCAACGTTGCTGGCTCGTCCAAACATTCTGTTGAACAAGCAAACATTCTATGGCGCAACTTCAATTCAACAAAGCAGCTTATACTGCTGTCCAGTGTGCTGCCTGCTTCTAGCATGCACTCAGTTTAAACTTATGCACGCACACACACACATACATATATATTTATATATATATGTGTGTGTGTATATATATATATATGTGTGTGTGTGTGTGTGCAGTGTTACGCAATGCAATGTTTGCACGAACCAGCAGCTTTAAATTTTTGAATTTAGCTACGTTCAAAATGTTATAAATATATGTCGATATATGTGCGTGGTGTGTGTTTGTGTGTGTGTGTATTATGTGTGTAAGTCTGATTATGGGTTCATCTGCTATGTCTCGTCATTAAGATGTGTTTTTTAAGTGTTATTTGTTTCATTTTGACGTCTATTTATAGTGTGTGCTCTCAAACATACGTTGTCACACCGTTGTTTAAAAAAACAAATCTTGATAAAAATGAAATTAGCTCTTATTGGCTGGTGTCTAATCTTTAGTTTCTTTCGAAGCTTATGGAGCGAATTGTTGCTGAACGACTTTAGTCTCTTATGGCTCAGAACAACCATAAGCTGGTATGCCAATGTAAATTCTGTTTTGTTCGAGTTTTCTCAGTGTTCTGTGCTGGGTTCGTTGTTTTTGTTGTATACCGGTAAACATGTTGATTTTGTTTGCAAATTTTATTTTCAATGTCACGTTTTTGCTGATTACATACAAATATTGCCAGCATTTCACATATGTTGTTTCATAATTTAAAAGAATGGTTGGTTTGTTGTTTGTTGGAAATGGATGATTAGATGGTTCAGAATAGATTGAAAATGAACACAAATAAAAAAATCCCAGCAATTGGGACACGTCAACAATTGAGTAAACTCAACCTGTATCTGACCACTATAAATTGAGTTGAAATAAATTTTCGTTGTGCCTTGTGTTGCAACACCGTTAATGTAAGAGAACACCAAACCAGGAAGAGCAGTGAGCGGAAGTGAAAAGAATAGTATTCGTTTGGATAAACTGGACACGTGTTTCGTTCCTATCGGTAATTCAGCAGCAGCCCGAATACCTATCAAAATAGTATCTCAGTTTTTTCCTTATATAGCTCCCACGAACTTTCAGATGCTGGAAATTTGGGTATGACGCTTGATTCGAATTTAACAACGCAGATGCATGTTATAAAAGTAGTGCGTGCACATTGTCTACATTTTAAGAAAATAAAAGTTGTTAGAAGGTATCTGGATAGGCATAGGCCTACTCTTATTTTGGCACGTTTTTTTCATTTTAAAATTGATTATTACTTCAATTCAGTATAGGCTTCAATCAGTTCAGAATCGGGCTGCAAAAACTGTTACTAGCAGCATGTGGTTTGAACACGTTAGTCGGCGTTACACTGGTTACCACTTTCCAAGCGTATGTTGCTAAACATTGCTATCTTTTGTCCACGAATCTGTTAATTGCAATGTTCCATCCTATTTAATTAATAAATGCATTCTTAAGCCAGCTTTGTTCCGTCATTGTGCATTGCGTTTTGAGTAGACGAATCTTTTTATATGTTCCTGTATGTTCCTTTTTATATGTAGCGTGATACCGATTGAAAAAATGTATGTGCATCCTTTTTCAAAGCCTTAATATGATAGTTGCTTCTAAAAGTTCATAAGGTTATATATATAGTGTGAAACTTTTCGACCTGCTTCTGCACATATACTCACGTACTTGTGGAATCAAGTGTCAACCCACTATATATCAGTATCAGAACTTGTATGGCGCCTCTCTCGAAAAGACCTCAGAAGCGCTTTCTATGGTGTACAGTGTTGAAATAATGATGTTTCAATGTTTTTTTGAACAGCAGTCGATCTGTGATGGAACCATCCCTCAACTCTACAGGAAGTGAGTTCCAAATTTCACCCGCCATTACAGCAAATTTCCGCCGTCTATATTTTGAGGAACTAAAGGACGGAATAACCAGATCCCCATGGTGGTCCGATAACCTAAGATGACTACGTCCACGTACCTTTGATACCGGTATTAGTTGTTCACTCAAGTAAAACGGTGCATTTCCAGTCAGACAGTCTCTTACAAAGAGTGCCACTTTAAATTTAACCCTTTTCGGAAATCGCAGCCAGTGGAGTTCATCACGCATGTATACTGAGATGGGGTGAAACTTTGAAACGCCAGCTACCAGTTTTGCTGCAGCGTTTAGTACTGATTGAACACATACACAGTCCTATAGGAATAAGTTGACTCCTTACATTATTGAGTTGGAGAAGTCAATTCGACTACAGACAAAACTATGTACAAGTGTTTTAGTTGACTTCATAGTGAGGAAGCGTCTGATGGTTCTAACTATGCAGTTGATAG